ACGTTAAAAGTTGTGCATTTACACTTTTGTTTTGGGGGGGGGGGTGACACGTTAAAAGTTGTGCATTTACACTTTTGTTTTCCTGTTTTGCTTTTATGTATTTTCTTTCTCAATCTAATTACTTCTGCATACGTTTTGCTACTTTATTCACTTTATAAATCAAAACATTCAACTGATGTAGATACGACTGACTTCTGGTTTGTTTTCCTGTATACTTGTCAATATATGTATTTTACTTTTATGTAAAAATATTGAAAAAATGAGCAATTTATTCATCCAACCATCCATTTTTCATACTCCATAATTCTTCCACTTATCCRGGGTCGGGTTGCGGGGACAGCAGCCTAGCGGAGAGGCCAAGACCACCCTCCTAGCCACTTGGGCCAGCTCCTCTGGGTTTCTTCCTGGTGGGACGTGCTCGGAACGCCTCTCCAGGGAGGCGTCCAGGAGGCATCCTAACCAGATGAACCACCTCRACTGGCTCCTCTCGATGTGGAGGAGCAGCGGCTCTACTCTGAGTCCCACCTGGATGACCGAGCTTCTCACCCTATCTCTAAGGGAGAGCCCAGACACCCTGCAGAGGAAACCCATTTTGACTGCTTGTATTCATGATCTTGTTCTTTTAGTCACAACCCATGGCTCGTGACAATAGATGAGGCTACATAGGAACGTGGATTCATTGAGCCTTTTGACTCAGCTCTTGCGTCACCACGACAGATTGGTACAGCGCCCACATCACAAAATATCAAAAATATTTTATTTACCATTGATTAATCCAATTCATGATGACTGCCACAGCCATCTGACCAGCAAACACAAAAATGACAAGAACTCAGTCAGTTTTACTGATTGACATAATTCTGTGTGGTATAGCTGWGTCCATCACGTACTTTAGCACTAACAGATTGAGCAAATTCTTTAAGGTAAGGTAAGGTGATATTTATTTATATAGCACTTGTCAGCAGAAAGGCAATACAAAGTGCTTTACATKATTCAATAAATGATACAAAATGTTATTTTAAAAATAATTTAAAATGTCTTTTACTGTTGGAATAAAATAAGCTAGTTAGCAAGATAGCTCAAAAAATCACTGGACAGATTTTATTGAAATTGTTAGGGCATAGTCACTGAATGTACATCTACAATGAATTAGCTTTTGAAACAGCCAATTCAAGATGGCTGCCATAGACAACTTACAGTCCCCTCCAAAAGTATTGGAATAGCAAATCAAATTCTCCTGTTTTTTTTAAACTTTAAGATCAAACAATGAGCTGTAATGAACCACTCTATGAAATTAGGACCAGCCCAATCTCACAAAATAATCCCTCAAGATCTTTGCATTATGAAATCCCAGAAAATGATGATCTACCAACCCTGATCATGAATGAGAAATAAAAACTTGTGACCTGAACGTATTTCCAAAATAAAGTAATTTATTTTTAGATATATGAACAGGATTAAACATACAAACATTTATTAAAAATATTATATGAATAAATGAACACAAGTTATATTTTCGACATATGAATTACACCTCAGAGTTCTCATAAACAGTAAGTTCCAGGTGTCGTAACTTACTGGCACGCTGCTTAACTAAGTTTTAAGTAAAAAGAGAATAAAGATAGTAAAGATTTATAACTTTAAGGATAGGAGGAAAAGAAATTAGTGAATTTAGCACTTGTTCTCCATAAGTCAAGACCAGACCAGCACCACAGCATGTCAGAGACCAGACACCTCTGAAGCTAGACTTCACCTCGGCGTTTTATCTCAGCAAACATTTTGTTCTACCTTTAGATGTCTTCAGACAGAGCCGAACCGGCAGGCAGGTAGAAGGGTTTGAGCGTTTGAGGCATCACGAAGTCCGCAGAGATGGATAATGTCTGTCGTGACATCAGGGGGTTGAGGAGATCCTTGTCTCACCCCTAACGAGCCTCAGTGGCTCCCGGCTGGTCTCAGTACAGTGCTTCTCGGCAGTTAGTGACAACCAGACTTCCATCCAGACAGGTGCCCAGACGGACACGCACTTCTCAGAGAGACTCAGTCAGAACCATGCTTACTCCAACAACAGACAAGAACAACTGTTAACTGTGTGAACAGAAAGTTAGTTCTTTGAGAGAGAAAAAGATAGAAGATAAACAATCTGTTTTTCCCACACTTGCGCGGCCAGCTGTGGGATTGTTATCTGCAAAGGGCCTTGAAAGTCTGAATAGACAGACTAAACTGCCGTCTTAAAAATCACTTCACTAAGGTTATACATCACATCCCCTATTAATAGTAAAATTAATAGTACACAATAATTAATCACTAAACCAATTAAGAAAAATGATAAAACCATGATTAATAAACCAGTACTAAGAAAAAACAGTAAAACACATTTCAACTCTTTTTTCTTCACGGTGTTAAACTCTGGAATAAGAGAGATGCAAAGATTAATTCAATAAGACTTTGAGTAATGATATAT